GTTTAATCTGAGTAAATGTAACATTTTAAAGGAAAAATATGTTGATTCATAATTTCACAGTGTCAACAAATCCCAAAAAAGTTGGGACAAGTAGCAATAAGTGGCTGGAAAAAGGAAATAGAGCATATAACTAACAGCTGGAAGACCAATTAACACTAATTAGGTCAATTGACAACATGATTGGGTATAAAAAGAGCTTCTCAGAGTGTCGGTGTCTCTCAGAAGCCAAGATGGTAAGAGGATCACGAATTCCACCATTGTTGCGCAGAAAGATAGTGCAGCAATACCAGAATGGTGATACCCAGCGTAAAATAGCAAAAACTTAAGTTATCATCATCAACCGTGCATAACATCATCAAAAGATTCAGAGAATCTGGAACAATCGCTGTGCGTAAGGGTCAAGGCCGTAAAACTCTACTGGATGCTCGTGATCTCCGGGCCCTTAAACGTCACTGCACCTCAAACAGGAATGCCACTGTCAAGGAAATAACAGAATGGGCTCAGGAATACTTCCAGAAAGCATTGTCAGTGAACACAATCCACCGTTGCCAGCTGAAACTCTACAGTGCGAAGAGGAAGCCATTTCTAAGCAAGCTCCACAAGCTCAGACATTTGCACTGGGCAAGGGGTCATTTAAAATGGAGTGTGGCAAAATGGAAGACTGTTCTGTGGTCAGATGAGTCACGATTTGAAGTTCTTTATGGAACACTGGAACGACATGTCATCCGGACCAGAGAGGACAAGGATAGCCCAAGTTGTTATCGCAGAGGTCAAAGTTTTCTTGTAGTTTTTCACCAGGTTTACTGCAACAGGACGTTGGCCAATTCCTCCACAGATCTTCTCTAGATCTGGGCTGTCGCTAAGAAACACATAGTTTGAGATCCCTCCAAAGATTTTCTATAGGGTTTAGGTCTGGAGACTGGCTAGGCCACTCCAGAACCTTGATATGCTTCTTACGGAGCCACTCCTTGGTTCTCCTGGCTGTGTGCTTCAGGTCATCGTCATGTTGGAAGAGCCAGCCACGACCCATCTTCAATGTTCTAACTGAGGGAAGGAGGTTGTTCCCCAAAATCTCTCCAATACATGGCCCCGGTCATCCTCTCCTTAATACAGTGCAGTCGTCCTGTCCCATGTACAGAAAAACACCCAAAGCATGATGCTTCCACCCCCATGCTTCACAGTAGGGATGGTGTTTCTGAGATGGTACTCATCATTCTTCGTCCTCCAAACACAACGAGTGGAATTAAGACCAATAAGTTATATTTTGGTCTCATCTGACCACAGAACTTTCTCCCATGACTCCTTTGGGTCATCCAAATGGTCATGGACAAACTTAAGATGGGCTTGGATGTGTGCCGATTTAAGCAGGGGAACCTTCCGTGCCATGCATGATTTTAAACTATGATGTCTTAGTTTATTACCCACAGTAACCATGGAAACAGTGGTGCCAGCTCTCTTCAGGTCATGGACCAGCTCCTCCGTGTAGTTCTGGGCTGATTCCTCACCTTTCTTAGGATCACTGATACGCCACGAGGTGAGATCTTGCATGGAGCCCCAGTCCGATGGGAGATTGACAGTCATGTTTAGCTTCTTCCTTTTTCTAATAATTGCTCCAACAGTTGATCTTTTGGCACCAAGCTGTTTGGCAAGTGGAGTGGAGGTGGACTTTTTAGAGGCGGACTAACAGGTCTTTGAGGACCAGAACTGTTGCTGATTGGCAGGTGTTCAAAAACTTATTTGCAACAGTAACACACAAATAAATTATTAAAAACTCATACATTGTGATATCCGGATTATTATTTTTTTAATAAATTATGTCTCTCACAGTGGACATGCACCTAAGATGAAAATTTCAGACCCCTCCATAATTTCTAAGTGGGAGAACTTGCAAAGTTGCAGGGTGTTCAAATACTTATTTTTCTCACTGTATCTACTGTAGATGCAGACACACCAAAATGTAAATTGGTATCTCACTCGTTTTTCAAGTTATCCTCTCTGGCTCTCGCTCGAGGTGGCTGCTTGCTGTTCCTCTCCCATTTTTTCCCTTCCCTTGCTTCGCTCTCTGTGTGTCTGAAGCGCCTGGTACACATCTCCCGAACGTAAATTAAGATTATGGATCTGGTATCCTGAACGTTCAACGCTATCGACAAGATTTTCTCAACAAAACGACAAGGTCCTGAAGAACCTGCTTGTCCAGCTGAGACGCACGCAGTGGGGTACGTCATGGACCAGTGGGGAGTGTGGCAGCTGATGTGCCTCTCAGTTCTGTCTCAGGAGGACACTGAAGACGTTTACATATTTGGATTTATGATAGCAGGGACTCTGCTTTTTGGCATCGGTGGGTCTCTGTTTTATCAACTATTGAAGACGACTTTGGCAGCAAATTCGTACTTGACAAAGCTTCAGAGTCAGTATGAAGGTTTGATTTGTGCTGTGAGTACTCAAAATCTGCTGATTTATGAGCTAAACTGTAAGCTGGAGGCGATTTATGAAAATCGCAGGCCACCTGCGGCTTCTGGGACTTGTCAGTGTGGTGGGATCAACCTTGAAGGAGACTCATAACATGGATCAGAGGAATGGATTCCCACAATCAGGCCATTTTGAACCAGAACGTCCAGATGGACTTGAGGCTGATGAAAAAAATATGTCTGCATGAAGAAAATCAACAATCAAAGCTTATCTGATTCTGACTCCCTGTTGGCCTCAGAGACAGGTTGACTATCAAATTTTTCCTGTGTCATGGGTAACCAGGGATAAAAGCTTCATCTATCTTTGGGATTATTTTTGCATTTGAAACTGAAGCAGGATAAGAAAAAAAACAACAAAGAAAAAGTGGATCATAACGTTTTCACGTCATTTTGAGTTTTTTTTTCCTTGAATCTCTTTCACTCTTTGCCGCGTTACTCATTCACATGCGCGTGCGTGTCATACGGTCGTGCGCGCGTATCATACAATCTTGTGCGCAGGTCTGTATGTTCTTTTGTCCAGTATGGCTAGTCATAATTCTGCTCTTATGCTGACCCAGATGACACATGATTGTTCTGACTTGTAAAATGGTTTTAGAAAACTTCAGGGGGAGTCAGCCAAGATGATGCTGATCAGATGCCTGAATCCTGAATTTACACCCCCCCCCCCCCTCAATTGTTGAGTCCCAGGTTGTCAAAGCAACCTGGGACTCAACAATTCAGTTGTTGAGTCCCAGTTGTTGTTGTCCTGATACTATTCATTTTTCTGTTGCTTTTTTGTTTTCAGGTGTGACATGCTGGCTGTGTGTTTGTGAGAGTTGTACCTTGTAACCGTACCACGATGGGGATCTTGAGATCCAGGTCTCTGACAGCCATGATGATGCCCTGAGCAATGACATCACACCTCATGATGCCTCCGAAGATGTTGACTAGGATGGCCTGAACCTGAGTCACATCAAAAAATAAAAATTTTCAAAATCAATGATAAACAAGTAAACTAAAAAACAAGACAGTGAATTTATTCAACTGTTACAGTTGGTACAAAAACTTAACATAAAAATATGATATAATAAATAATGAAGCAAAAAGTAGCTTTCAACACCAGATGATCTGTGTTTTGGTCCTGTATGCTCTACACTGGTTTGTCGTCATTATCTGCATCGTTTTTATGTCTATATTCTGATTAACCTCATTTTGTATTTTGCTTTGTGTGTTACCTGTTGTTCTGTCTGTACAGCACTTTGGTTGGCCTTGTAGCTGTTTTAAGTGCTCTACAAATAAAGTGGTATGGTAAAAATTTATAGGCTGACTGTTCCCCCTTGTACAAACCGGATTCCAAAAAAGTTGGGACACTAAATAAATTGTGAATAAAAACTGAATGCAATGATGTGGAGGTGCCAACATCTAAAATTTTATTCAGAATAGAACACAAATCACAGATCAAAAGTTTAAACTGAGAGAATGTATCATTTTAAGGGAAAAATCTGTTGTTTCCATATTTCATGGCGTCAACAAATCCCAAAAAAGTTGGGACAAGTCCATTTTTACCACTGTGTGGCATCCCCCCTTCTTCTTACAACGCTCAACAGACGTCTGGGGACAGAGGAGACCAGTTTCTCAAGTTTAGAAATAGGAATGCTCTCCCATTCATGTCTAATACAGGCCTCTAACTGTTCAATCGTCTTGGGCCTTCTTTGTCGCACCTTCCTCTTTATGATGCTCCAAATGTTCTCTATAGGTGAAAGATCTGGACTGCAGGCTGGCCATTTCAGTACCCGGATCCTTCTCCTACGTAGCCATGATGTTGTGATTGCTGCAGAATGTGGTCTGGCATTATCGTGTTGAAAAATGCAGGGTCTTCCCTGAAAGAGATGACGTCTAGATGGGAGCATATGTTGTTCTAGAACCTGAACATAGTTCTCTGCATTAATGGTGCCTTTCCAGACATGCGAGCTGCCCATGCCACAAGCGCTCATGCAACCCCATACCATCAGTGATGCAGGCTTCTGAACAGAGCATTGATAACAACGTGGGCTATCCTTGTCCTCTCTGGTCCGGATGACATGGCGTCCCAGTGTTCCATAAAGAACTTCAAATCGTGACTCATCTGACCACAGAACAGTCTTCCATTTTGCCACACTCCATTTTAAATGACCCCTGGCCCAGTGCAAACGTCTAAGCTTGTGGAGCTTGCTTAGAAATGGCTTCCTCTTTGCACTGTAGAGTTTCAGCTGGCAACGGCGGATGGCACGGTAGATTGTGTTCACCGACTATGCTTTCTGGAAGTATTCCTGAGCCCATTCTGTTATTTCCTTGACAGTGGCATTCCTGTTTGAGGTGCAGTGACGTTTAAGGGCCCGGAGATCACGAGCATCCAGTAGAGTTTTACGGCCTTGACCCTTACGCACAGCGATTGTTCCAGATTCTCTGAATCTTTTGATAATGTTATGCACGGTTGATGATGATAAGTTAAAAGTCTTTGATATTTTACGCTGGGTAACACCATTCTGGTATTGTTGCACTATCTTTCAGCGCAACAATTGTGGAATTGGTGATCCTCTTACCATCTTGGCTTCTGAGAGACACTGACACTCTGAGAAGCTCTTTTTATACCCAATCATGTTGTCAATTGACCTAATTAGTGTTAATTGGTCTTCCAGCTGTTTGTTATATGCTCTATTTCCTTTTTCCAACCACTTATTGCTACTTGTCCCAACTTTTTTGGGATTTGTTGACACTGTGAAATTTTAAATCAACATATTTTTCCTTTAAAATGTTACATTTACTCAGATTAAAC